AGCTGTTACTTTCCAAGACTGTTCATAGACTGGGGATGTGTCTCCTAGGCTTTCCGTTTAAAGCCAGGCACGTTGCATGTGTTAACGGTGTGAGGGGTTCATACAGGCTCTCTGACTTGCCTGCTTGGGCCGTTTTAGTAGTTCATAGATCTTTTCTAGGGAAGTGAAATAAAGGGGAGCTTGGAGATGAAAGATGTAATTAACATGGGCAGAAGCAGGGGTCCTGTACTCAGGAGAGAGAGCTTGTCTGCGTTGGCACTTGTTAGGGACCTTTCAGGCACCCAGCGTGGTGGGTGGCCGTGAAAACGAGTGGCCCTGTGCAATAGTGTCTGTGCAGATTGCCCTGTTGTCCCATCCGGGAGCCTGTGCCTAATGGCACGCGCGTGTCGTGCGAGCTCAGCCTGCTCATCGCAGCCGTCAGCACCTCTCCCTTCTCCAAAACCTCCCGTGGTGCCCGGCTGTCTCGAGGGTAGGAATCTCCAGCTACGTGAGGAAGGCTGCCTTTCCTCAACACCTCTTCAGAGCCTCTTAATTTTTCTTCCTTTTCTTCATTTTTTCTCCTGATTGTGATGGGATGGTGAGCCAGAGGTTCCTGTTTTAAGCAGCAGAACGTTGTATTTCATTAAGCCTGTTACACACTTGGTTTAATTTTCAATTAGCCTGGATGCTAGCAAAATAATCTGATTGCTTTGAGTGTTTGGTGTTCTAGATCTGCCTAGCTTCCCTTCTGTCCCCCCACCCCCTGCAAGGCTTTTCTGTGTGGGTTGATAGGCAGACACTCAGGTTTTCACCCACCCCCTTTCCTCCTTGTTAATGTATTTTATACCATTTGCTCTGAGCTGAAGGTTTGAGCTGCCAGAAGGAATAACTGGCAAATCAGTGTTCTACCTCTGCAGCTCTCCGTGAGGTCAGATCGGGTCTCTCTGGCTGCAGAGGGGGTTTGTCTGTAGGTGGGTTTAAAACTGTTGGGTTCTTGTTAAATCTATAATGTAGTTTTAAGTGCAGGGGTTTTGTGTTGGTTTTTTTTTTTAATTTTTTTGCTAAGATCCTGTGGGATTTAGTTATCCTCATCCCAATGGCACTTCTCTGGGAGTCTAAATTTGTTGGGAAATTCCAGCCAAAAAGCAGGTTTATTGTCATTCTCGACTGTGCTCTAACGGGGTGTTGCTGTGACTGCATTTGAATAATGTTGAAGTTGTACCCAGGGTGAACTGATGTAAATCAGCAAGCCAGGGACCTGTTATTATTACTATTAAATCTTCAATCTGCTCTGCATTTGTACTTTCTAGGGTTTTTTTTTTCAGGCTGATTCTCATTGGTTGGTAGCTGTTAGCTTAAATATGGTATTCTTAATTGCGAGTCAAGTGAGGCATTTTGCCATGGAGTTAACTTACAAGTTTAAGCTTTTAAAAGCTTTTCCTCTTCATTAATTGTTTGTGCTCACATATCTTTGGCTAGTGGATTGAACTCGGTTGTCTTTTGTTATTTTTGAGAACCCAAGATTATACTAGGTGTTAGTTTCTTGTCCTTTTAGTCTCCTCCTAATCTGTGAAATAAGTTACCCAACTCATGGTTGGTTTCTCATCAGAGTGAACTTGTGTGTTTTGAAAAGCAGAGAATACTTTGTTTGCTGAGGAAGTTTACAATTTTTTTTTCCTCAGCCAAGGTATAGCGTCAGCTGAGAAACTTGTCCAGTTTCCTGGAGAACTTTGTCCTATACCACTTGTAAAGCTTTGGCTTTACTTTTAGTATGCCCCCCAGCAATTATGTTGTCATTGCTGTTTCTTTTCCACGTAAAAAAAACAACCAGTTGTGTAACTTACTTTATCACTTTGTACCTCGTACTTACTGTTCAGCACAGTTGGACTTCACTGTCTTGTGTTGCTCTGTTAAGGAAGAAGTATCAACTGAGTTGAAGACTTAAGGTTCAGCTTTGATGTTGTAGAACTTCATTAGCCAAAGCATATTTCTAAATATTTCAAATGACACTTATGTGGCTGCCAAAGTATACAGTAGGTTACCAGGTGATGTAATACATGAATTGGTGTTGATTGCTTCTTAATGGACTTTTTTTCCATACTTGAGTGATAACTGTTAGGATCCCAACCTGTGGACAGCACTTCAATCTTTGTTTACGTGTTGCCTGAGCCATCACTTAGTGAGAGCTGTCAGCAAAGTAGCAGTGGTCATGTACTGGAATGAAACCATACAGTGCTGGCTTGTGTAGCTCCACGTTCCTGTCTCATAATGAAGCCGGTGGCAGTGCCAACGAAGAGAGGTGAGCCTGCATGCTTGAACCAGTGTTTATATTGGACTGGTTCCTGAAATCTGTTTTCATTTCAACTGTGCTGCGGCTGTGTAAAAAGCCTTGAAGATGCTAATTATTTTTGTTGGCATACCGTAACATATCAATATGTTCAGTGCGAATCGCCAGCAAGTCCTTTTTTTTTTTTTTAAATAAATGTTGCCTGAAGTTTGGAGATATTCCCCATCCCTTCCCTTAGCCCCTTTTGCTGCATTTATTGTCTCATCACTAAGTTGACAGCAGCACTGTTCTGCTAGGGTAGCAGGTGAGGACCAGCTATAATTGTGGACTATGAGGCTGTAGATCCCAGCCTGTCTGGCAGAACTGAGCTGCCACTGAATGTTTCGTACCCCCTTCCAGTCCTTTTTAGTTTTTGTAGCACCCAAGTTGACCACA